AGGCCATGCCGCCGCGCCGCAGTGGGCCAGAATACCGGTAAAGGCGGCCAAAACTCGAAACGCGTTTTGAGCTCCAGAGTCACTAAATGGGACTTGAACCGAACGTGTGACCCTACCGAACGAGGTCACACGTTCTCTATTTGAGTCCTGTTTCGCGACTCTGGAGCTCAAAACGCGTCCGCACAGCTTTGGCCCCCTCCCCCGGTCTTCTAGCCCACTGTGCTCGCCGTGGTCGCCGTGGTGCGGGCCGCGCGCCATGACAACGATCCTCGTCTTGTTGGCGAGGACTTCCGACGTCGGCGTGTCACGCCGCGCCACCGCACCCGCACCACCATCTCCGCCGCACTCATGCCGTTAGGGAACACTCGATGACGACGTACCCAAGCCAGCCCGGTCGATGGGACGACGGCGGCGTGCTGGCGGCGTGCTGAAGATGATCCCGAGAGGCCGTCCTCGTCGCTCTGTCTCTCTCGCGCCAACAGGAGACGCCCCATGAGCGCGAGAGGGACAGGGTGACTCCCAGTGTGCTGGTGGCCTGGCGGCCCGCCGGCACGACGTCGCGGAGACACGGCGGTAATCCGCTTTCCGCTTTCCCCGCCGCGCGGCGCCACACCGCAAGGCGCCGCACCGCAAGGCCCCGCAAGGGGCGCTCGTCTCTCGTCTCGCGTCTCGCAGCCCCGCAGCCCGCCCCAGACACGGCGAGTGGGCGGCGTGGCGTGGCGGGGCGGGTAAGTTTAGAGCACCGCGTCAAGACAGCGGCGGGTACGTCTTGAGGCCGCGACGGCGGGGCCTCCCAGACCGCCGGCGGCGCGACACCGGTCGCCGATTATTTTATTCGGCGCTGATTCGCCGAACAACCCTCTCTCCTTCTCGCACTCTGGGGGGCTGCGAAGGGGAGAGAGAGACAGAGCGGAGGCGTGGCCGCCGCGACCAATCCTGTTCGACTTGGCCACTGGGGCGCCGCCGCTTGTTTGCGGACCGAAGTGCAATAATCTCTCTCGGCCCTCCCCTCCGGGCGAGGCGCAAGTTAAAGAGGGGCGCGGTTAGTTTGGCGGGCCGCCTCGCCCCGCCTCGCGCACTTCGAGCTTCGAGTTCGAGGCGCGCCGAACTTGAGGCTCTTGCATCGCGAGTGGCCTATGGCACCTCCACTGGAATCACCTCTAAACACCTCGAAGTCCGAGTAGACTAGAATTTTACCTTCACAGCAGTTTACTTCTAAGACATCATACACCGCGCCGAGTCGAAGCACGAAGATCTTGGCGCGGTAAGGCAAGCACGGTCAGAGACTCAACGTTCCACTCGGCTTGTGTGTTTGCGCCCGCCCGCCTGAGTGTGTGAATGTGTGTGCGTGCTCACGTCCTGTGATGCGTGTGCGTTTGGCGTGTGTTTGTGTGTGTGTTTGTGTGTGACGCGATGACTCTTTGCTAATTGGCGCCTTCTCCAGCGCCTCCAGTGCCCCGGCATCTCCGCACGCTCCAGCAGGTGTGCGGGATAATGCCGGCGAGAGTGAGAGTGCGAGGCCCGACTTCCCGGCGCTCGTCCCCGTTCCACTCCGCGGTGACTTTGCTGCCGTTTTACCTTTCGTGTTTTGTTTCCCCTTGGGGATGTCGGTGCGTATTTTTGTCCCCAGCAAGTCGCTCAGGTCACCGTCCGGGCGGGCCGGTCGGGCCGGTCGGCCGGCCCTCGGGGCTAAACCCTTTCGGCCCCGTCCGACCCTCATCAAAGTAGTTCTCCCGTGCAGCGCCGCTCTCCCCTGCTTCCCCCCCCCTCCCCCCTACTTCGCCTTTTTCAAAGCCCGCAGGCCTTCAGCGCGCCCCGGTCCGGCACGTTGCGCCGTCGGCCCAACAAGTTGGATTATAACGCTCGGTCGGGGGGGTCGGGGGGGCCGAGTGGGGCCGGGGGGTCGAGCTGCCCATTAGGTTTACCGGTTCCCTTGCCTTCCCTCCCCGGCGCGGTTCGCCGGTTCCTGATCCAACAAGCAGAGACACTGTGCTCCGCGCTCCGCTCGCCACCAACTCGCCACCCCGGCCTCCAGCCTGGCGCTTCAGTCTTGCTTCAGTCTCTCCGAAACGTTCCCGAGGTTCACCGGTCTCCCAGCCACAATGAGCGTCTCTCTCTCTCTCTCTCTCTCTCTCTCTCTCTCTCTCTCCTCTCTCTCTCTCTCTCCCTCTCTCTCTCTTTTTTTTTCCAAAGCCGCGCATCTCGCCCCTTGCCCTCATCGCACCGTGCCACACAATCAACTGCAAACCAATACCCGTTTCGCTGTCAAAGGCGCCTTTGTCCCCTGGCCGCCGCGGCCGCCGCCCACACCACTCCATTTTCTTTTTATGTCCCTCTGTCTCTCTCTCTCTCTTTCAATTTTTTTTATGAATAGCATTTTTGTTTCTACAACATGCGCCGACGGCGCCACACAACACAAGGACTCGGCGGAAAGGGGTTGTGGTCTGTGACGTGAAATGTGTGTGTGTGTGTGTGTGTGTGTGTGTGTGTGTGTGTGCGTGCGTGCGTGCGTGCGTGTGCGTGTGAGAGAGAGAGAGACGCAAGACGAGTTTCCCTGTGCGCTGCTACCGCCGGGAAGTGATACAAGCCCGCTGCGCAGTGGTGCCCACCGGGTGGCCTACCTCCCCGATCACAGGCGCTCTCCACCCAGAACCACAGATACGGATTCGTCCTTTCGCCCACTACCACACTGTTATCCAGGTCGCCTTTGATTCCGGACAGTCCTCTGGTCGCTCTGTCTCTCTCGCACCCATTGGGAACGTCCCAGGAGTGCGAGAGAGACGGCTGCTTTGCCGCTCAGCGGCACGTTCTCTATTCACGACCGTCGTTGCCGTTTTCAAGGGCGGCGCGTGGTCCGCGGAGCCAGAGGCACGCCGAAAGCAAAGCAGCCGAAAACAAGACAACAACAACAAAAAACAAAACGCCAGAGCGTGATTATGGGAAAGATCGCCCCGCCCCGCCCGGCACGCAAACGGACGCTGCTAAATTTGAGTCGACCCACATTCCTAACGCAGCGCCGACCAAAAAAAAAAAAAAAAAAAAAAGGCAACCGAAGAGTAATGCACAAACTCGTCCCGTCGGCACCGTGCAGCTAGGCGGCTGGGCGGCAGTGCAGAGCTCCCTCGGTTCATTTCAACTCCCTCGACCAGTTTGCAACTGCAGTTTGCCACCGCGCTGTGTCTGCCCACCGCCTCGCGCACCGCACTGTAGGAAAGTTGCTTCAAACCGACTGAAACTTATCATTTTCGTTCCTTTTCATTACGGCAGTGGAGATTTTACAGGGTACTCTCTTAGTCACAATAGTGTTGCTATGAAAATGAAATGAATTTCAGTCGAATTGGCTCGGTTAGTTTTGCAGTGGACCGCCTCGGCAGCCTACAGTGTGAGGGCGTGCACGTGCACCTGTGTGGTGCACTGATTGCAAGCTCCTTGTTCCACGCGGTCCACGCGGAGCGCTCCAAATCCGGTGCAGCGAAAGCACTGCAAAGGGTGCGACGCGCGCGCGGCCTGCCAGCGAGAAGGCGCAACAAAAAGCAAAGAGAGCGAAAACAGAAAGAAAAACTCGATATTTTATACATGCCTGCGCGGGCCCGGCCGGCCGTCGCCCTGCGGGGGCCGCCCCCCGTATTCACGGCGTATTTCATTTGAGGGGAATGCCGTGTCGGCACGGTCGGCACGGCGCGTGTAGCGCGGTGTGGCGCGGTGTGGCGCGCGCCGAACTGTGTGTGTGTGTGTGTGTTTGCCTGCCGGCGACGGCGCGGTAATTATTTATCAGGCACATTGAAGCGCGGAAATGCGGAAATCAGCAAGTAACCCCTTGTTTGCGCGCTGAAAAATGGACTCAATTGTTTTATCCCGAAACAAGGAAACAGAAGTTGGAGAACAAAGCAACACTTCTCTCTTTCTCCCTGCTCTTTTATTTAAAAAAGAAAAAAGTTGGACGGTGCGTTGTTTGTTGAGCGGCCTGCTGGTCGTTCGCAGCCGCTGATTGGTACTGTCGTAGTTTGGCAGCAAACACATTGCGATTGGGAGGTCTGTCTGTCTGTCTGTCTGTCTGTCTGTCTGTCTGTCTGTCTGTCTGTCTGTCTGTCTGTCTGTCTGTCTGTCTGTCTGTCTGTCTGTCTGTCTGTCTGTCTGTCTGTCTGTCTGTCTGTCTGTCTGTCTGAATGTCTGCCTTTCTACCTGTCTGTATGTCTGTCTGTCTGCCTGTCCGCCTGTCTGGACCCCGCACAGAATGCTAATTTGCGACACGGACGGGGACAGTCATTCGATAACCCCCTCGATGATTATTCCATTATTCCTGGTGGACCCCGAGCAGCCAGCCAGCCAGCCAGTCACCTAGACAGGCAGACAGACAGACAGACAGACAGACAGACAGACAGGCAGACGGACAGACGGACAGACGGACAGACGGACCGCGGCGAGGCCCGCTAGTGCTGCACCCAATGCGCAGTGCCACGCTTTGCGCTGCAGCGGCACTCGGCGTCAAGGCGCCAAGGCCGCCGCTGGAACAATCTGGAAACTCGTCCACGGCCTCCTTCTCGTAGTTCTCGTGGCGGCGCGGGGCGGCGTGGAGCAGCCGGCAGCGGCACTCCACAACTTGGCGCGTCGCCGTCTCTCTCTGTGCGTATCTCTCTCCATGCCAGCCCGAGGGGGAAAGGGGGGGGGGTGACGGAGGAGCAGACGGGTACCTGTTGAGACGTGCCGCTGTCTGGCCGCAAACTGCCACGGCCAGCGCGGCGGCGAGCGACGCGAGGCTCAAGGCGAGGCTCATGGCGAGGCTCATGGCGAGGCTCATGGCGAGGCTCATGGTGCGGCCGCAGCCCGGCGGGCGGTCCTCGTGGGCCCTCGCCTCGCGTCCACCCGCGGCCCGCGCACTGCAAGATGGGGACGATGGCCCCCCGCAGGGCCCTGCCACGCCTCCACCCTCCGCTCGGCTAGCCTCCGCTGACTGTCAGTCTCGCCAAGTTATTTACGCGCGTGCCTACTCTGTGTTGCAGGCCGGACCGTGATGAGCCGCCGCCCGAGCCCGCCTCCACGCCGGAGAACATCAGCACTCAGAGGTGAGTCGGGGCGGGGCCAGTCGGGGCTTAGAGCCTCCAGGAGCCTCGCCAGCCTCGCCAGCCTCGCGGGACAGCGGGAGAAACCGGAGAAACAACGCCCACGACCACTGCCGAACGAGCACACACACAGACACAACGCTTCCGACAACACACATACATGCGCACAGCCGCCTCCAAAGACATGCGCGAACACACAAATACATGCACATGTATCACACACGCGCACGCCTTTCTTCCGCTCCGGAACAGTATGCTAAAAATAGCACTGACTTGTGCGTCGGTTGGTCGGGCGGGTCCGGTGCTGCGCAGTGGCCGGACAAATAAGGGTTGGGAGAAGAAAGAGGGAGGAGGAGGGGGAGGAGGAGAGGGAGGAGGAGAGGGAGGAGGAGAGGGAGGAGGAGAGGGAGGAGGAGAGGGAGGAGGAGAGGGAGGAGGAGAGGGAGGAGGAGAGGGAGGAGGAGAGGGAGGAGGAGAGGGAGGAGGAGAGGGAGGAGGAGAGGGAGGAGGAGAGGGAGGAGGAGAGGGAGGAGGAGAGGGAGGAGGAGAGGGAGGAGGAGGACTGTCGATGGGAGGGAGACTAGGCAAGAGGGCAAGATTAATGGGCGGCCACTGCTGCTGCTGTGCTTGTAAGCCTCCACCTTTTATGCCTTGAGAATTTAATCTCCTTGACGTGTTCGCTGCTGGCTGCCGTGCCGTGTCGTGGCTCCGGCTTGCTCAAGGGCGTGGCCAGCACACCGCTAGCGCACGGCACGGCCAGGGCCATCAGCGTGTTCACGACCCCACCTTGCCGTGCCTTGCCGTGCCGTGACCACTTGGGGCCTGGCCGCGTGGTCCTCGCAGTGACCATCTCCACCACGGCACTGTCTCCCCCCCCCCATCATCTCGACGACTTGACATTAATATAGCACCGTTCATAGACAAAAGGGTCCGCATCTGCACGGCCAAGCGCACCGGGCCGCGGAACTTATAATTAAAGAAGTTGGCAACCCTATAGCCAGCCTGCAGGGATGCACTTTGGGAGCCTCGCTCCTCTCCGCGCTGCTACGCTGCCGCGCTCCGCCTGAACGGACAGGTTGCCAACCGCCGAGAGGGCCTGCTGCCTCTGGCCTGGCTCTGCCCCCCCCCTCCCCTCCCGAGATCCCGCTCATTAAAAAGTACCGGTGCACTCCCCGTGTACGCCGCACGCCGCCCGTTCCTGCTGCCGGTTGAATTCAGCCCTCCTTGACGAGTAAGCGTGTTTTCGCTCCCCTTTCGCGATCAGCTCCCTCGGCCGCGGGAATTCGCCAAGAAATAAACTCGACTCTCATTGGGCCGGGGGAGGGGGGGGGCATTCGGTTCGTTACCCGGGCTGGCCGAAAATTGAAATGTAACCGGATGTGGCTTGCCGCTCGAGTGGCGGGATGGCAGGCAAACCAAACAGGGGAAACTTTTCTACGTTCGCATGCTCGTGTTAGTCTTCCATATTTTATCGATCAGTGCATATTCACCGCGTCATTAATATCGCAGACGCGATTTCTCTCCGGAGTAAATACTGCTGGCCCGCGAGCTTCCCGTGTGCGCGGTGCCAGAGTGTCAGAGAGAGAAAGAGAGTGTGTGAGTGCGTGTGTGCGAGGGCCCGGCGACGACGTGACTGGCGGGGGGCCTGAAGGATCGGCGACGCTTGGCGACGCTTGGCCGCGCCGTGGCGGGTCTGCCCGCCTCCTCTTGTTTGCGGACAGGGGAGGTTGATAGCGGCAAACACAAAAGGAGTGGAGGGGGGAGGGGGTCGCCGCAGGACGCCGGACCGCAGGGCCGCCGTGGAACGGATCGAGCAGGATGCTGAGGTTGTGTTCAGGTAGCGGGCAGGAAGGGGAGGGGCCACCGCAGCAGGGCTGCACATGACAGCCACGTCCTCATCCACCAACTTGGCGGCGTGGCCAGCACAGTGTAGTTCTATGGCCAAGGAAGCGTCCGGGACGGCCTAGCGGCGTCCTCGCCCCTTTCAGCACCCCCACCCCACCGGGCCGAGTGAGTTCTATAGAACGCATACGGCATGCCGCTCTAACGGAATGTCTCCGTGTCTGCGCAGGGTGTTCAAGAAGTCCTCCTCCAACAACAAGCTCACCATCTACCTGGGCTCCAGGGACATCATCATCGCCAACAGGTGTTCGGAGCGCGTGCGCGGCGTGGTCGTCGTGGACCCCGACTACCTGCAGGACCGGAAGGTAACGCATAGTCCCCGGTAACCGGTGCACAGAGGGTCAGAAGACGCCCTACCAAATGGATTCCTCGTCCGGAGAGCAATCCATTGTGGGGTCACACATTCGGTAAGAGTCCTGTTTAGCAACTGCGGAGCTCAAACGCACTGGGATTTTGACCGCCTCCACCTGTCTTCTGGCCCTCTGAGTCCGCGTCGGTCCACCTGGTCCGCACCGCTCTGCCGGCGTCTGCCGCACCACTAACCAACTCTCGCTGTCCAGGTGTTCGGCCAGATCACGCTCACGTTCCGCTACGGCCGCGAGGACGAGGAGGTGATGGGCCTCAAGTTCTGCAACGAGGCCATCATGTGCCTGGCCCAGCTGTACCCCGCGCACGAGCGCGCCCAGTCCATGCCCAACACGCCGCTGCAGGTAAGAGCGTAGAGTAGAGGGAACCGACGGAACGGACCGCTCGCCGGGGGGCCACAGAGGGGCCCGCTCGCCTGGGGGACTTTGCGACGCTGTTGCTCCCCTCCCCGCTCCCCAGCGGGGGAAGGAAAAGGGGTGGGGGTCACCGGCGCGCTTTCGTCCCCTCACTCGTCATATTTATCGCGACTCGCTGAGCAATGTGGCGAGATCACGGCACCGCCGGGACTCCCCGAGGTACACGAACGAGGCCGTGCCGCGGCACCGAGGCAACGCGGCACCGCGCGGTGGCCGTGAGCCATTGTATTTACCATACCGCCCCACGCGAGCGCCCCCTGCCGGGCCCTGCCCCCTTTGCAGCATTTGCTCCTATCTATCAAACGGCCCTCTACCTCTTCACCCTCACCTCCTCTCTCTCGCTCTCCACGTACACACGGCGCGCTCTCTCTCCATTCACCACCGCCTCGGCCAACTGGTTTCCGAGTATCGCGTCGTGTGTTCGAGAGCCCTTTTGTTTGTGTGTGCGCGCGTGTGTGTACGACGTACACTGTACGTCCTGTGTGTGCGTGGGCGGGTCTGTGTGTGCGAGAGAGCTTGTGTGTCCCTCGAAGCCCGCAGCTAGAGCTGCCGCAGCGCCGCAGCGCCGCAGCGACTCAGCCGTCTTTTGGCGTCCGGGGCCAGGGCCGCCTGTGCAGCGTCAGATAGGCAGCCCGCCGCGCGCGCGTGCCCTGTTTGCCTACCTGCGGTCTCGCAGGGGCTCTGGCGGCCAGGGTCCCCGTCGAGGTGCCGCGGTCGGAGGCGGAGCGAGAGAGAGAGTGGCCCCAGCCAGCCGTCCCACGACGCCGAGGTGCCACGAGGTCCCCCGAGGCCGAGCCGTGTCTTTTTCCTGTGCTTCCGAGAGCACATACCGTGAGGCACCTGGGTCCTGCGTCCCGGAGCAGCAAGGCGAGGCGAGGATTGGGGTCGCGGGGGCGGGGGAGGGGGGTCTGTTGGCAGACGACGGCGGGGGCGAGGGCGAGAGACGCGGCGACGGAAGCGAAACCAATAGGAGGACGCGCGCAGCGTGTCTTAACAGTGTCTGTCGCGCACGGCGTCGTGTCGCGCGTGCTACGCGTGCGCCGCGCCTCCACCCCGTGTGCGTGCCGTGCGGTTGCTGCGCGCTTAGCGGCCGCGACGTGCGCACGCCCAGGCAGCTCAGGCACACCGCGGCGCCGCACAGTGACAGATGATCTCTGCCACCGGAGGCGGCGCGGAGGCGGCGCGGGGGCGGCGCGGGGGCGGCGCGTCGTCGGTGTGCGGCCCTGCGGTCAGGACTGTGTCTGCGTGCGTCTGTCTGCGTGTCGGTGTGTGTGTCGCGCCATACCGGGGTGTTATTTTCTCCTTCGTTTGTACTTTTCGCTGAAGCCTGAGCTGATGAGACAGGGGTTGCCGCCGGTTTGCCGCGCACCATTCGTTCCAGACCGCCGACGCGCGTCCCATTTTTCTGTGCAGTTGCCTGATGGCGATGTCGGGAAAGACGCTTTTTTATCTGTGGGCGCGAGGAGGAGGAGCGACGGGGAGGGCGCGGCGGTTGTAAGTGGCAAAAGTTGCCGATGAGTCTTCTGGTTGGAAAACGCAAAAAAAAAGAAAAACACCGCGCCAGAAATAAAACAAAGACGCGCGCCTAATAAAATAAAATAAAAATTAGTTGCCGACTTGTTTGAAGCCACAGGAAGGCGGATTCGGAGCGTGTGGCGCGTGACGTGCGAACCCAACTCCCTCGGGGCGCAGTCCCTCTCGCTCTCGCGCTCCGTCTCTCTCGCTCGCGGTGGCTTTCCGGGGCCAAGTTATTTTCCGCAAGGATTCCTGCACCATCGCCGCCAAGTTGTCCTCCTCCCGCGGGGGGCGGCCGCCTGCTTCCTCCTCGCTCTGCTGAAGGCCGGGGACGACGTGGAGGCCGTGGTGGTCGTGGAGGCCGCCGTGGAGGCCGTGGGGCCCACCGCGGTGGCTCCGCCTCATTAGTGCCGCCCCTCACGCCGTACTGCCCCCCAAGCCACGGCCAAGCCCGGCCAGGCCCGGCGAAGCCGAAGCCACCCCGAAGGCCGTTCACGAGCACACCTCATCGCGCACGGCCGGGCCGGGCCGGGGTGGCGCGGCGTGCGGCACCAACACAAGGCCTCTTTAATTCGCAGCCTGATTGGCCAAAGGCGGCCAGAAAGGTGGCTAAAGGCAGCCGGAGAGCACCGTAATCCGAAGCCAACGCGTTGCCGACACGGCCTCTTCTGTGGAAGCCGAAATCGGGCCCGCGCCCCGAAGGCCAAGGGCGTGGAGGGCGCCCAGGGCGTCGAGCAGCGGTTGACTTCTGCCGTAATTACGTCTAGTGCTGGTGGTACTGTACGCCTCTCAGCACGCCCCGTAGAACGCCCTGAGGAACGCCCCGAGGTACGCCCCGAGGTACGCCCCGTGGTACGCCCCGAGGTACGCCCCGAGGTACGCCCCGAGGTACGCCCCGCGGTACGCCCCGCGGTACGCCCCGCGGTACGCCCCGAGGTACGCCCCGAGGTACGCCCCGAGGTACGCCCCGAGGTACGCCCCGAGGTACGCCCCAAGAAACGCCTTGCGGTGTGGCTCGCGGTTCGCGGCACTAAGCCTCCTCTCCCCGAACGAGGTCAAAGTTCTGGAGCTATCCTTGGATCCTGGATCAGCAGGCCTAACCTTGGAGGCGCGGCGTGGGCAGTGCCTGGCAGTGCGACGGCGAGGGCCAAAGGCGTGGGCAGTGCGCAGCGCGCGGCCGGGAAGACGAACCAATGGGGAGCGCCTGGCCATGGCCTGGCCGCCTCACCACTTTGGCATGAATTATGGAGAATGGTGACTGGCTGGGCTGCGTCTTGGCGGTCTTGGCAGTGCGGTGCGCGTCACGGCGGGAATAGGACAGGCCGGCCCCGGCCGAGGCCCCGGGCCACGGCGACGTGGCCAAGCCCCAGTCCCGAGTCCCGAGCCACGGGCGACCCCGTTAAAGTCTTAAAGGCGTCCGGGCGCACCGGCGGCAGGCTGAGTCCGAGCCCCAGGGCCCCGTCGCTCTGTCTCTCTCGCACGCGTGCGCGACGTGCGGGGCGCCACAGGCGTGCGAGAGAGACAGGCCTCCCGCTCGGAACCAGCCTGCAGGCTCAGGCCATTAGGACGCCGATCGCGCCGGGAATGGCGGCCGGGCGGCCGGCGGGGGGTGGGGGTGGGGGGAGCATTATAATAATTTCCATTCGTCTCCCGGCGCCCCGGCTGAGGCCATGCCCGTCCACTTATCGGCAGTAAACTGCGAACTGCAGCGCCGTGCCATGCCAGGGTCCAGCCCGCCGTCGGGACGTGACCGGGACGCTGCAGCTGCAGCCCCGCCCCGAAGCTAGGCCGCGCCGAAACAGGAGTTTCCCAACTAACCAAGAAAGGTGTCCGACGGTGTTCGATGCGCGCCGTGTCGGGCCGTGTCGGGCCGTGTCGGGCCGGAGGCGGTGGTTTTGCTCGTGACTTGCCGCGCTCCGTCGCAGGAGACTTTTCCCCGCCGGGGGGTTGCAGTCGGAACGGGCCCAGACGGGTCGGGCTGGGTCGGGCGGGTCGGAAGGCGGGGGTCGAAAGCCATTTCCGGGTCGTGCGCGGGACGAGACTTTGCTTGAGTCAACACCACCTATCGGCTGGAGTCCGGCGGCGACGCTGGCGTCGAGGCCGGGCCGCATCCCCGGCATCGCTATGGAAATGCAGACCATCTGGAGGCACTGGAGGCGCGCCGCCCGAGGGGCGTAAACGTTGTCGTTGGGAACCGGGGACCGCGGAACCAGGAAACCCGGCACGCGGTGAATTTGCTTGCACAAGCCAGTGGGGCCGCTCGTGGTCTCTGGGCCGCTCGGCGCCCTGCGGGCCTGTGGGCCGCCCAGGGCCGCCCAGGGCCGCCACGGCCTTCGGCGACAGCCCACGGCGGCCACCCCTACCCCGGAATGTTCCACCTGTCGCAACTTGGAAACAATGTTGTGGCACACCATTCTCCGCGGCTATGCCTACAATACGCGCACGCACTCACACAGGCGCAGGGACTTCGACGGCGCGGTGCCCGTTCGGGCTGCTCCCAGCTAGACCACACTATCCCGCTTCCTGACTTGCAAATTGGAGTGCTCCCAAGTCAAGGTGCACTGTTGGTGGCGGTCGACCGCTTTCACTTTTGCCACTGAGACGCCTATCTTGGCCCGGAAACGAATGAGCTCACTTCTGGGTCACTTCAGTCAAGAGGTGCGTTTCGAAAAAAACGGGAAGACACCAGAAACGAACGGTTTTGGAGCAGATGTGCCGCCGTCACGCGTGCTGCTCCGTGACCGCGACAAGGGTGTCCGTCTCGAGACTTTGTGGCCGTGGCGGCAGCTGGGAATACAAACACCAACTCCACCGGACTGCGCGCCGCAGTGGCCGTTGAGTGTGCGAATATTTTCCGTCTGTTTGTTTCGGTCGCTGTTTGCAAGTCGCTTTCCGAGTCTCGCGGCCCTCCGCGGCCGAAGACGCATGACGTACTCCCCCTTCCCCGTGAGGCACAGTGGCGGGGCTCGGCGGCGCAGCGAGCACGCCGAGGAGCACACAGTCGGTGCAAACAAGCGCCAGACATGGGTGTCTCTCCCAGCCCCGTCCCCGACGTCCCCGACGACGACGTCCCCGTCGCCACGACGTCACCGTTCGCGGCGTCGTCCTCGTCCCCGCCGCAGCACCACGCAGCACCGCGCAGCATCCAACCGCGCTGCCGATAAACATCTTGCTGACGATATCAGGTCCCCGCCCCGCTCGCCCCGCGCGTCGACTGCCGCTGCTCCTGGGGATAAATATTTGATGCGCAGGCCAGACCGCCCCGCCGCACCCTCCGCGCCCACGCCATGCTCAGGGCGGCGCGGCGGCGCGGCGAATCCGACCGGTGGGCGCGGAAAGAGGCGCCCGGATCCGCACTGCAGGGAGCGGGCGGGGAGCGGGCAGGGAGCGGCCGGGGAGCGTCTCTGGAAGATGTTGCACCGGAAGTGGACCGGAAATTGGATCGGCGATGGCGGAAGCGCGATTGTGGCGCCGCGGTGCTCAATGGGGGACATGACGGCCTCGGCCACCTCCGGCAGCGCGGGTACCGCCCGCACCGCCCCCATTTTCGCAAGCGCGCTGCACGCGCGGCGAGTCAAAGTGTGTTATCTTTTCATTGAAAATTTTCACCGGGACAGGCCACGCTAGACCCGGCCGCCTGACTGCGGGAAGTTTCGGTTTCGCCGAAGCGAGGCGAGGCGGCCGAGCCTCGCGGACCGTGAAGCATCGCGCTCACCCGCCCAGCCGGCCGCCCTCGTTTTTATGAAGACAAAAAAATAAAATAAAATGAAATGAAATAAAAATAGCCCACACGCTAGCCTTGATTAGTACGTCGAGTCCAGGGGCGGATCGGCGCGATGGTGAGAGGATCGCCGGCACCTTGTGGGCTATGCATGAACCCGCGACAAGGGATGATGACGAGCGCATGCGGAGACAGTTTTAATATACTTCTCATGGCTCTTACATCGATTGCCTTGAAAAGCGCGGCTGAGTGTGCATTATGAGCGCCCTTTCGTTTTGCGTCAATTACGCTGTTCACGAGCAGTCAAACTTATGACTGTATGACGTACTATCCGTTCTGACCGGGCAACTCATTACGAGAAGTTAGTTGGAACGTAAAGCTCAAATAAACCGAAAATTAACAGCACGTCAAGCGGAATTCAAACGGTAATAGTTTTCTACATCAGCAGTCCAATAAATGTTAGCATTTTTAAAAACCCATAGTTTTGTAACACGGCAATGACAAGTTATTAAAGGACATTACTCAAGCATACTGTTAAAGGATTGACCCAAGTTAAAAATTAATTTAACGTTTACAGGATCCGCAGCGCCCGTCCCCGCGCCCCGACGGCTAGGCGGGCGCGCGCGATGGGCACATCAGCGGCCCGTGCGAAGGTGGCCCAGGCGAACCACTTACCCGGGCGCGGGGCGGCGCCGCGGCCGCTTGCTGCGCGCATTGCAGCCGGCGGCGCTATTGGCGGAAGCTGCAGTGGGGCGAGGGCGCAAGCCGCAGGGCAGTGGGTTGGCCACCGGCACCGGCGAGCGGCACAAGCGGCATTTCCGACCCAGCCCAGCACCGCCACGCCGCCAGCACCCCACAGCCCCACAGCCCCACAGCTACCCCACACCACCCACAGCCCACCAGCCCACAGCCCACGCCCACACCCACCCGCCCCACAGCCCCACAGCCCACAGCCCCAGCCCCCAGCCCCACAGCCCCAGCCCCCAGCCCGCGCCCCACACCCTCAGCACCAACCACACCCAGCCCACAGCCCAGCCCCCGCAGCCTGCAGCCCGCCAGCCCAGCCAGGCCTAGCCGGGCAACACCCGGGCCCGCCAACAACCCAACGATCGCCGCCCCGAGCCTGAGCCCGGCCACCGCAGGCAACCCACGCCGCCGTCATGCGCCTCCCATTTGCGGCGATGGGCCGCGCCCGTGCTCCGCAACAAATTGTACCCCGCAGCGCTAACAAAAAGATGCGCCCGCCCCATTTTACGCGCGTCGCGTCGCTAATGCCAAAAATTGCTTCCCACATGCGGGATACACAGTTCCGCGCAAAACTTTTGAGGTTAATGCTAATTTGGCTTTAACGAGCCACCAAAGATGTCCTAATTTGTTTTCTTTCATGGGGCTTAGGAGAATACCAATTTAGTCAAACGCCCCCGCGCCGCGCGCGCAGCAAAATCGGCGGTCCGGCTCCGCGCCCCGGCATTCGGCCAAACGCGCCCCATGATAGCCGCGCACAGCTATTGCGGCGCGGACGGCCTGGCGCGCAAAGCCTCCGCGAAACTTTGTCAAAGCGCGCGCGGAAGGGTGATTCCGAACAGTGCTTTTGTCGCTCCTTCCTCTTCGCACCCCATCGCGGCGCCCCGGGAGTGCGAGAGAGGCGGGGCGACCAGAGCACTGCAGGGACTGCAGGGCTGCGAGGCGCTCATTGCCGCCAGTCGGCGGCCAGGCCAGTCAGGCCGCAGTCCAGTGCGGCGCGAAAGTTGCAATGAAATTATGGCAGTGGCGGCGCGGGGCTGCGGGCTGCCAGTGCGGTGCCGTGCGGTGCCGCGGGACTGGGACGGGGACGGACGCGTGCGGGCCTCCACGGCCAGACGGCCTCTACGGAACGGTGCAGTCCCCCGTCGTTGTGCGAGGCAAACAATGCAAAATGAAAAGACTGGAAGCCGTTTCGGGGTCGCTTCCCCACAGCTCTGTCCTTGTTACTCCGTGGACTCCGCGTGAGTGAACCCTCCCTCCTCGCAGTGCCGCTACATTATTCGTCTGATGCCTGCCTTGCCTGCCCACAGGACGCGCTGCTGAGGCGGCTCGGCCCCAACGCCCACCCCTTCTGCATGGAGATGACCCCCCTGGCGCCGCCGTCCGTGCAGCTCGTCCCGGCCAAGGAGTACACGGGCGCGCCCATCGGGACCAGCTACGACGTGCGCGCCTACGTGGGTAAGTGTGAGTACGCCCGTACGCCCGTACGCCCGTCATACGGCCGCGCGCACCGCCTAGCCTCGCGCCCGGCGCGCCCGGCCTTCCTCGGCCATCCTCAAAGTTTGCCGCGCTCTGCTACACTGTGCACTGTTCGCGTCGGCAGCGCTGGAAGCTGGAAGCTGGAAGCGGCAGTGAAAGGTGGAAATTAGGCTGTCCGACGCGCCGAGGCGGAAACGCGGAACGGGGGAACGCACAACGCGGCGGGGAACAAGCAGCTGCGGCATTCTTTGTCGGCACACACACACACACACACACACAGTCCGCTCACACTCATACACCACACGCCGCGGGGGGCGTACGCTTACAGGGCTGCTGAGAAGACGCTGGAGGAACGTTTATCTGGAAACAAACACACGATACCCGCCCACGCACGGACACACACCCACACACGCACACACACTCGGTGCCTTCCCTTCGGCCCGTGGGACGTGGCACGCAGTGGCAGGACGGGGCACGGAACGGGCGGACACGCGGATGACGAATCCGAAGTCCAATTTGCTTTTAATTTTCCGGGCGGGTTGCTCTGCGCTGCTCTGCGTCGCTCGTCCGGCTCTGCGCTAAGGCCTCCTGCAATTAGACAGTGTGGGAGCTCCACCCCCGGCGAGGCCAGGCGCCGGGCACGGCCCCCGGCCCGGCAGCCCCAGGGCACCGACAGGGTGGCCAATCGGGACCGCCGAGGAAACTTATTCCAAAACCAAAATGAAACGAAAAATGAAGATCGACGAAACAAAAAGTGATTTCCCGCGTTCCACCTGATTTGGCGAGAACAGTATTTCAACATTCACGACCCTCTGTAAAAGGGCTCCGGAAGCAAAAAAAATTTTACATCGATTTTTTAGGGCCGCTATGAGGCTATTTCGACGTGATCTTTGTGTTCTAACTACCGCAGGCAAACGCCTGGGTGAGGGGAGCTGTAGTATACGGCAAGGTTCCGAACCATTTTCCCGAGCTATGATTAGGGATAGCGCAGCCTGAAGACATTACCCGGCGAGATGAGGGCGGCGGGGAGGGGGGAGGGGGAGGAGGAGGGGAGGGGCTGCCTAATGAGTGCGAGCGCGGACTCCGAACGCAGCGACACGACACGCCGCCCTGCGTGGAGGGCCCTCGCCTTGCCCCGCTCGCCGAGTGGAGTGGCGGGGTAGTGCAAGGTGAACAATGCTTGCGCTGCTTGCGCTGCTTTCGCCGCTTTCACCCCCCTCCCCTCCCCTTTTTCTCCTCAGCGAAGGTCTATAATGCCACTGCTCTCGTTAAGGCCGGAGGTCGAGCACGGATAAATCCCCCACCCCGGCGAGCCTCTTCAATTTTGTCCAGACAGACTGCCTCCATGCCTCGCTCCATGCTCCCTACTCCGTCCGCGGGGCCCTGGCCAGGCCCCATATTCCGAGCCCCAGGCCGGGCCCCGGCCCCAGGCACTACGCGGCACGCGGGCCGGCCGCGGAGGGTGGAGCGAGGGCGGGGCGGTACGCCAGGCTCCAGTAAAGTGATATTCCCTTTCCTTCGGCCGCTGTGCTGCTTTGCCGGCTTTGCCCCGATCCCACAATGAGCAGTCTAATGCCTTTCAGTGCTGCTGGCTCCGGGGAGAACGGCTGTCATTTTGGTAAAGGCGAACCCAGCGGGGCCTCCACTGTATGCCCCGACTCCAAACGCGAAAACTTTTAGGTTGATCTAAACTTACGAAGAAATCACGCAGTGATTACGAAGTCATTCTGACGCACCAGGGAAAATCGGTGAACTTTTAGCGGTCATAACTGGTTTTTAAGCTGATACTACGGCGTGGCACATCGCTCGCACAGGTGGTGGCTCCAACGCTCCGATGCACCGTGACGCTTACGAGCTGCTTTCAAAGGTTTCGAACCCACCAACGGACGTGTGCGCAGTGCACTGCATGTTTGGAGGTTCTGGGAGCGAGACGAGTAAGAGCCTGGTTGCCCTTCCCCGCAGGGACGTGCACGCTTCTGCAGCCCTGCTGGCCCTACCCCGCCGAGGGCCAAAGCCAAGGCAAGCCGGGCAAGGCGGCCAAGCCGGCCAAGCCGGGCAGGGGCGTGAGCGCGAGCGCCAAGTTTTGTAAGTGCGCACGCCTTTTGCTTACTCCATCTACTCCATGCACTCTGGCGAGGACGCACCCCTGCTCGCCCTGCCCGCCTGACTCGATCCACCCGGTAGACTGCGCCGCACCTGCAACGTTGCACGCGCCTTGGCCGTCGCCGAGCTTGCAGTGTACCCTCGCTTTACCGTGTGCCCGCGCCCCCTCCACCCCCACCCCTCGCCTCTCTTCCATGTCTCGTTTTTAATCTCTTTCTTGTTGTTCGTTTTGCTTGCAGCGGAGCGGCCGGAGGAGAAGGTGAACAGGCGCAGCATGGTGCGGATGGGCATCCGGGTGCTGCACATGGCCCCCGGCGTGCCCCACCCCATCGCCGCCCCCGCCCCCGCGCCCGCCCCCACCCCCGCCCCCGCCTCCGACGCCGACGCCGACCCAGCGGCCGACGGGCAGGAGCCGGAGCCGGAGCCCGCCAGCCAACTGCGGCCGCCGCACGCCGCCGTCGACAAGCCCTTCCTGCTGAGCGACGGCAAGGTGCGTGCACGACGGGGACATGTAAGGCAAGACGGAGGCCGAAGGTGGCAGTGCAGTGCACCGCTGCGCCGCTGCGCCACGCCGCCGCCTGCGGAGCGGCGGGTAGGCAACGCAACGGACGTCGCCGCCGAGCGCGCTGCCTACACGCCACTCCGCAGGCGCTTTCAACCCGTCGTCCGTTTTGCCGCGGACCGCAGGGTTTCCGGCAGAGCCAGCCACAATGCTGGGGGCATCGGCACTGCAAAGCCCCGATAGAGCGAAAGGGGGAGGGGGAGGGGAGGGGAGGGTCCCAGCATGCGACCGAGGCCACTCGGTGTGTGGTTGAGCCGGGAGCCAGGTGGTGGACGTAGATATCCAGGCATCCCCTTCAGACATATCTCCATCCCTCCCTTCCCACCGACACTCACCGTTGGGTGCTTGGCGTGCCGGAGGGTGGAGGGAGGCCATGACGGGGGGCCTCGTTTGGTCACCGTGCTCCACAAAGGATGATGGCCTATGGCTCTAGTGCGGCTCGCGGCACCCTACTCCGCGTTCGTGGAGCAGCTCGCCGAGTCTCCTGGCGACCCCGTCGACCAAGTCGAGGACCCTTCCCTTTATCTGGCGCACCTCGCCGAACGCCCCGCCCCGCCCCACCCCGCCCCGCCCCACCCCGCCCCGCCCCGCCCCGCCCCGCCCCGCCCCGCCCCGCCCCGCCTCGGAAGCAAACTCCGTCAGCTCGACGGCGTGGCGGGGCGGCGGGGCGGGGCGCTCCGCGGAGATGCATACGCCGTCGGTATGGAAAGAAAACACGACTCCGTTTGCGTAATCAGCACGAGCGCTGTACCTTTCCAATTGACGTCGGCACCTCGGCGGTGCGGTGCGCGGGAAAGGACGGGCAGACGTTGCTGTGTGGGTCGTTGTCGGCCATTGTTCGACCGGGACGCGACGCGCCGAAAAAGGAGACAATGAAATGAACGCCGTGTTTCTGATTCTGTTTTTTATTTTTTTTCGATTCAGGTGGAGCTGGAGGCGTCGCTCAACAAGGCCGTGTACAACCACGGCGAGACCGTCATGGTGAACGTGGCCGTGCACAACAACAGCAGCAGGAGCGTGCGCCGCATCAAGGTGCGTGGGGCGGCAGTAGTCGCCGTGGTGGTAGCACTAGAAGCCTCGGTAGCAGCAGCAGATTCCGAGAGTCGTTTGAGTCGCTCTGTCTCTCTCGCACGTATGGGCCGTGCCGTATGGGTGCGAGAGAGACAGAGCGACGGAAACGACTATCCGAATCAGCCTGCAGCCGTGTGCAGTGAGCTGGGCGGTAACAAACTGGGCCAGCGGTGCACTGTGCCATTCGGGGCCATTAATACAGAGCAGCCGTTGGCCAACGCATCCCCCTGCCTGCCTGGGCTGCCTGCTGGTCTGGGATTTATAGTGGCCTGGCGTCCCAGCGTCCCTACGTCGCCCAGTGCAATGCAGCCGCCGCCTGCAGCGCGATGCGACGCAAATCAATGCCCGTGCAGCACGCGGCACTGCGCAGCGCAGCATCGTGATGCTATCCGGGGCAGCAAGGTGGGGCGAACCGCAGCATGCCCCGCCAGGCAGCCAGCCAGGCAGCCAGCCAGCCAGCCAGCAGTGGAACAATAAAGGCAAAGGCGGGGCTGCGTCCGCGGCGTCGAACCAAAACGTCAAACCCGCCGGCGTCCAGGGCAGCAGGGCAGTCCCTGCGGGCTGCGCGGCGCCGAACCTTCGGACGCACCCATTCCGATCCGTTCCCGTTCGCTGTGGTCGACTTCACTCCGCCTCACGCGGGGAAATGAAAAATGCAGCGAGCCAGAGCGGCGGGGCGGGGCGGGGCGGGGCGGGGCGGCATTGCGACTTGCAACAGGCCGGTGGGGGGTTGCGGTGGCGTGGCGCCTCAAATCCACCGAGACCGCGCCGTGCTGCGCCCTGCTGGATGTGCAACATTGTAATAACGGCTGGGCGGGGCGGGGCGGGGCGGGGCGGGTACGCAGTGTGCATGTTTCGAGAGGGAATACGAGCCGGCCGGCCGGGCGACATTTAATTTGGCGCTGTTGACTCTGTTCCACTCGACGCCACTTTATGTGGCCTGGCGGCTGCGGTCGCCACTCCGCGCCATTAGCGCCGTGTTTGGCCACCACCACGGCATGGCCACGCCGCGCCACCTCCCCGCCGGCCGCCCAGTCGTCGCTGTCTCTCTCGCACTCGCGGGCCGTCCCGCAAGTCCCGCAGGGGTGCGAGGGAGACGGGGCGACGGATGCGCGCTGTTCGGGCTCAGCCCATCAGCCTGCAGCCCGCGGCTGTAGTTTGACGGCGGCCCCCGGGGATCGCCGTGTTCCCGGAAGGCCTCCCCGGCAGGTGTGTGCAGCACGGCCCCTGATTGGCTGCGGCGTTGAGAAGGGGGAGGGGAGGGGGAGAGGAGTCCGTCCAGTTGCCAGACGCTGTTAGCAAACAGCGGGGACAGCCCCGCCGAGAAACTGATCTGGACCGAGCCTGCTCGCCTCATTACGGCCAGCCGCCCGAGTCCGGAGGCTCTGTCTCTCTCGCACTCACGGGGCGTGCCGTTCGGGTGCGAGAGAGACGGAGCGACGAAACGATCCTTCGGCATCAGGCGGCAGAAACTTCCTCGGCTTCGTGCTGGACGGCCCCGACGGCCCCGACGGCGTCGGGGGCGGTGGGGCAGCAGTGGCGAGCAGCGTCCAGAATAAATAGATTATGGCATCAAAACTTGGCGCCCCCCAATTGGCGCTGCTGCTGCCTGGGGACTGCCGGAGGAGTGGGGGCCGGCGGGTGCTGGGGGCGGCGGGGGCGGCGGGGGCGGCGCTCGGGAAGGAGGCCGGGCTGCGTCGCTGTGTCTCCGGCTGTCGTTAGAAAGCCAGCGACTCCCTCTCCCGCCCCTCTCTCTATCTCTCTCTGTCTCTCTCCGGCCCCACCGTCTCCGATCGGGGAAATAATCCGCAGACAACGCGCCGATTTCGCCGCCACCCTGCGTGGCAAGCGGGGCGGGGCGGGGCAGGGCGGGGTGGGTCACTTTGGGGGCCTCCATTTGGGTCGATTGTCTCGCCAACTTATAGAGCGGGCCGGGTACAGTGCGAGGCGACAGCCAAAAAACACCTTTGGCCTGCTCGATGGCAAAAAAGACTGTTTATGTGGACAACGCTCACTAACTCTGGCGCGTGTGCTGCTTGCTGCTGCCGCAGGTGTTCGTCGTGCAGCACGTGGACGTGTGCATGTTCTCCAACGGCAAGTTCAAGAACGTGGTCGCCCTCATCAACTCGCGGGAGCAGTGCCCGCTGGGCCCGGGCACCTCCCTGGACCGCGTGTACGCGCTCAGCCCCGAGAAGGGCACCACCAAGAACTGGATCGCCCTGGAGGACTCGTTCGCCAGGGGCGGCGCCCCGCTCGCCTCCACCGTGACGTGCGCGTCCAACTCCCCGGACGACCGCAACGTGTTCGCCATCTACGTGTCGTACTACGTCAAGGTGAGCGCCTGGTTCGCCAGCTTGTTTTGCAGTGTCTGGCCGGCACGGATGGCATGGAATGGCATGGAACGACCACGCCACTGCCTTATGGAAGGGCCAGGGCCGCCAGGGCTGCCAAGGCTGCCAAGGCCCACACGCTTCATGCATAGACCATGCCGGCCGCTGCGCGCTGCGTCCGAGGCGGCCGCTTTGAAAGCCATGAAAGGCGTCTGTGAAAGGCCCTGCCCTGCCGCGCCCTGCCGGCGGGCTGCCGAGGACCAAGGACTGGGCCAGGACTCGGCCGGGGCTCGGCCCGCCGCACGGAGGCCGCGCGCCGGACGGCCAGAGGGGCGCGTTAAATAAATGAGCGCGGCCGGATGGCCAAATGCCGGATAGAGGATAGAGTCACGGCGCCACCTGCGTCCGGGCGGACTGGGTGGACTGGGTGGGCCTGCCGGACCACCCGCGCCGCCCCGCCGCCCCTCCTCATGGACACAGCCCACGACGGCAGCAAACAAAGAGCAAGCGGGAAGGAAACCCGAGTGTACAAATGTGTTCTTCTCGTTCCAGGTGAAGCTGCTGGTGGGGGCCATGGGCGGCGAGCTGTCCGTCAAGCTCCCCTTCACGCTGATGCACTCCTCCTACGACTCGGACCTGCCCTGCCTCAGCAGCGTGCCGTGCTGCGACAGGGTACGGCGTCTTTCTCAGAACAGCACCAAGTGCGACGTTGTTGTCTCTCTCTGACCTGACCGTCTTGCAGCCCGGCGGCGCGGACGGCGACGGCGAGCACCACGGCGGCGGCGGGTCGCGGCGCGCGTCCTCGGCCAACGCGGGCCGCCGGAGTCAACAGCAGCAGCAGCAGCCCGAGGAGACGGGCAAGGCCCGCATGGCGCAGCAGATGCGCGACGCGGACGTCATCATGACGTGCGACGACGACGCCGCGTCGACGCCCCCGGTGCTGCCCGGCGGTGACACATGAGGGTCGCAGAGCGGCGGCTGCGGGGGGTCGCCGCGTCTCTCGGACCAACTCCAGGGCCTCCAGGGGGAGCCGCGTGACAAGCCCTCCACTTCCGCCGCTGACGTCACCGTCGACGACGGGGCGGTCGCCTCGACCTCCAGGCCGCACTCCGGGGCGCACTCTGCGCCGCACACCGCGGCGCCGTCGCCCGCCCGGACCCCCAGGACGCCCAAGACCCCCAAGACCCCCAGGCACAAGGACAAGGCCGGCAACGGCGCAGGCGGCCACGCTGCTCCGGGCCACGGCCAAGGCCACGGCCAGGGCCACGGCCAGGGCAGCGCTCACGGCCACGACCGCCTGCAGCAAGTCCAGCGCGCGCTGTGCTGCTTCACCAAGCGGTGCCCGCCGAAACAGTGACGAACTGGTCGGCCAAAAGGCTCGACCGTCCCGCCACACTTCTCCAGCCTCACCAAGTGACTGTTTAACGGCCTTACTAGTGACTAGTGACCATAGCGAGTTTCTGGCTAGGCTCTCTGGCCAGGCCTTCTGCTTCTGGTGAGGCCCCAGCTGGGCCTCATGGCCTACCCAACTTACGGCCTTTGGACCCTGTGAGTAGGCGATCTTCTGTCAGGACTGGTCTTTGGTCTCCACCCCCTGTTGCCCGACGGCCTTCTTAACTTGTGACCTCGTGTCGCAGTCTTCGCGCCCAATGGCTCTGTGGCCTTTCGACGACCAAGTACGGGTAACCGAACTTCGACCGCACACGTGGCTCCAGACCTTCGAAAATCGCACCGTGAACGTTCTCGGCTTCCCCTACACTGCTAAAGGCTCGTGAAGAAATCCGTTTTAGTTTTCCTAGAGCAGCGGTTCTTCGCTAGCATCTTGCAGGGTGGTGGAGTTGGTGCGGTGGAGCAGGAGCAAAACCCGTGGAGTGTTGTAGTATAGTGCGGCATACCCCGTCAACTTTGTTAATAGCATTATTTGTGTGTGAGCGAGTGCGTCTGTGTGTGTGTTTTTTAATAGAGTCATGCAAAAAGAGAAATTTGCGTATGAAATGAATCTCGTCTGTAGCATCAGAATCCTGGAGGGGGAATCCAGAGGCCGAACAGCCGGCGACCGAGGTTGGCTCATGACACGACTACGGCCCTTGGAATCCCAGTACCACACCCCATTCCCTGACATATCATTGTATTTTAATAGACGAATAAAGTTATGATGACAAAGTCGGTGTGTTGACTTATCCTCCGAATGGTCATTGTCCTCCCCCACCTCCCCGGGCCTGGCCGGCCTGGCCGCAGCCAGCCGAGGGAAGCCCCTGTGGGACGCGTGCTCGGTGCTGCCAACCTCGCGGCACTGAGAGGCACTGCGAACGTAGGCAGTACGACTCACCGTGGAAGGGCGCCCACCTCGCGCCGCGCACCACCAGCTTGGCGACGTTGGCGGCCTTGGGCTCGACGTACAGCTGCAGCAGCACGTACTTGAACTTGCCCTCCTCGTCGATGGTCACGTCTGGCGTTGCCGCGAGCTTGTGCGCCATGGCGTGCTGCTGAGCTCGCTGAGCTGCTGACGGCAGGGCGGGGTGAATGAGCACGACGACGTCGTTCTAGCTTCTGGGCGCGTAGCGCAGCGCAGCGCAGCGCGCACGGTGGCCCCGTGACTCACCGAAGCAGGGAAACCGAAATAGAGTCCCGACGGACGTGTGGGCGGAGGGCGTGCCTCCCCCCTCCCCCTTTCCCCCAATCTGTGCAGGCTGCAGATCGTTTCGGCCCGGTTACCTGGTCGGTCAGTGTGCGACGTGAGAGCGCGGCAATCTCTCTGAAATATTTTGCGTTGACAGGCCGCCTTCAGCAGCACCTCTACCGAAAACAACCCTCTCTGAAATGTTAAATAAAAAATATTCGACCAACATCGATGTTGGTCAATCGTCATTATTTACGTAAGCCGAGATGCAAAAACAGCCACATTGCCAGAATTCGTTTGAATAGTTTAATAAAAATGAGGCTCTACAACTGTCCCCTCGTCCTCGTAGTAGTGGGGTTCGATGGACAGAAACGAGCCCAGTGTGTCTAGGCTCTAACTGCTATCCCGCCCGTGGGCGACAGAGGTCCGTAGTTCAGCTTAGTCGCCTACCGAGGCACTCTTGCAGTGCAGGGTGGTGGTATGGATAGAAAAAAATGTGACACGTAGGAAAAAAAGACATTTATTTGAAAATTGTAAAACATGACATCACAACAAGCTCACTGACTTGACAATGTATTACAAAATATAATACTGCTCATACAAAAAATAACAACACATTGGGTATGCGACTTAATCTGAGAAGAATAAATATCCTGGCAAATAGGAACTCCCTGGGAGCATATCACATATCACTGGAGGTTATTTGTACAATAGGGACCTGGTATTGCATCAACTTTGTTATTGAAAGTATGGGCACATGACACAGTGGCTCACTAAACTAGTTGCCCAAAAAAATGTTTCCCTCCTTAAATTGCTAAATTTTTAAAAAGATATATAAATAGATGGTATCTTCAAGCAGAAAATGAGTCAAGAAAAACTGAACAGTGGAATGTGACAAAGAGAAAATTCTAACGTTGATGAAACCTGCTATACCATAAATTCATTAACTCTTTTCCTGCCTTCCTTCTTTAAGAGAGGGAGGAAATACTCCACTTGAGAGAGACTGTATCTTTAAATAAATATTGCACAGTAAAATAATGATATTGGAAACAAGAAACGTTTCCAATGTTCAACAGTTGAACAGATGGGGCTTGCACTTGCAGGCCAACTAAAAAGGCAATTACACACACTCTCTCTCTCTCTATTAATTACACTTTCAGCTTGGTTAGCAAGGTAAGATTTGACATGAATACACTTTAAAAAAAAATTGATGGTGGAGAAAGAGTTACTAAACACAAAAATAAATATAACAATAATTGAAAAAAAAATTAAATAAAAGTTGTAGACTGATTTTTGTATCTTGAAACAAGGATCTGTCACATGATTGGTATCCTCAAATAGATAGGACCCTGTACAGTAAAAACATTGACACAAAAAGAAAGTGTAATGGAAAAAAAACACAGAAATACCTGGTACAAACATTTGTTTTAAACTAAAATACACAACCAAAATTTTCCTGAAAGGAGTAAAACATCCATTCCTCAGCAGAGTCAGGAATGAAAATGTAGGAACTCATTTAAAAGGGAAACATATACTTAAGTAAAACTTGACCTGTATCAGCAAACTTAATGATCACCAATTAATTTCATTAATGGTAGGTGACAACAGACTTATAGCTAGGGTCTTAAGGCATAAAAGCTACCACATTTGACGCTTGAATCGAAGAGGGGAAGTATGTGTTGTGCTGCACTTGAAAGGAAGTAAAGAGCATTGACATCCAAGCAAAATTTCATTAAAAATATGTCTTGTTTTATCATCTAACATTGTACGTGATTGTGACTCATTTGGTAAAGACCATGAAACATTAAAACACCAGGTGCAAACCTTACAAAATAAAAAGTCAAATAAAGGTTGCTAAAATCACATAAGAAGAGCCACTTAGTCTAAAATTTATGGGGAAAGTATTTTCTGGCACAGAGATCTTCGGCAAATTCAATCAGAACATCTAGCCTCTTTTAAACCTAATTCTAGCCTCGATTGGATGAGCCCAACCATTGATTCTTAACAGGTACTTCAGTTGGTGAGATTTCCCAATTATTCTCACCAGACCCAAACATTTATTGTTAATCAAACAGTCTCTTGTAAATTATAGGTGTCAGATTTCAGTCATCAACACCAGGGACCTTCCACTGATGTTGATTCCCTACTCTATAGAGATCTATTAAAGTGTCCTTGAGTTTTCCCTGGGCATCTATCTCCTTGTACTTTTTGTAAAGTTGGAGAGCTGCTCTGGCATCTTCAACAGAATCATGAGTCACAGACTGAATCTTCATACCTGTAAATGGAATCATAACAAGTTGCTAGGGATTATTTAACATAATCATAATACCCATCTACTAAGACCAAATTACCTAAGAAATGCCACGCCAAAAATCGAAGGGAGATCAGCCTATGATTAGGGAGATGAAACAGTAGAACAGTGTCAATTACTTGCTCTGGAGGAACAACCAAATTAATAACCCTGTAAACAAAAGGAAAATATTGTAAAGAAAGGTTCGAAACACTGTAAGAAAGGGATAAAGAATTGGCTTTGAAAAAACAATGCACCTAAAATCATTTTTGAGGCCATGACCAACAAATTTTACACCAGTGTCAACGAGAAATCTCAGCTTTTGATATGTTGATTTGAGTGTGGTTAGATGTTTTGAACTGAAATTGGCATCCAAGTCTCCCGGCTTTATTCCTGAGAATTTTGTAAGATAGTCAACCACCTGCTCTTGAGTTGAAATATAGTCATCAATAAATGGTGTCCCTTCCCTGGGCCCTTGTCTGAAAAGAGAAAATGAAATGTATGACATAGACAAGTCAATCAAAATTGTTGGTATTAAGTATAAATTCACAGAAAACTATGGAAACAGACCCCCTGACACAGGTGATACGAGCCACAGATTTGTGAGAAGGTTTCACTGTAGAAACTTTTCCATCACTTCTTAATTCTGACTCTTCCTGATTTAAAGTGACAAACTCTGCATCCACAGCAACAAGCTCTCCTGAAATTTTTAATTTTTATAAAATAAGAGAAGATGAGATAATTTTATGAGGTGTTATGAATTACAAACTGAAAAAGTCTGGATACACACCTGGAGCTGGCATTTCTTCCGCCATTAATGGGGTGAATGTAATCATTTTACGAGCCCCATTGTTCCTTGCCAAAGAATTGTCCTCATTAAATACTTCCGCAGTGAGCGGGATATTCACAGGAGGCACAAGGTCCTTTGGTAAATCTCGACTAACCCAATATAAAACACATGGAACTTTCCAGTCCAAGCTGAACCAAATAGCCTCTTGTGCATTAACAGGAGTAATGCTATTAAGAATTTAGAAAAGAAACAAAACGGTTTTAGCATGCTTGATTTGTTTTTGAAAAGAAGAACAATCATAACCCTGACGTGAGGTACTGCACTGTAATAACAGAGATTTTATCTTCCTAAAATACTCACCAAAAATCATTGAAAAGATACCAATTACTGAGAGGAGCACCTCCCAATCTAGAATGGTAGCCAGCACCCACATTCACTAAAGAGACAAGATTTTTCTTCTCATCACTGACATGGCATACCACAGCCATGAGATCATAGACAGATGACTGAACAACTTCTTCACCCTAGACAATAAGACAATAAAAATTTAAAAGTAAAAAATAAAAAATAATGCAGAATTCTTTTGAAAGTTAATTGTTTGAATGGTAGATTTACCGAATCAGTTGGTTTCTCTGAAGGGTCATTAATGTTGTAAGCTCGGACAGACCCATTTGACAAACGCTCCATACAAATACTAAGAGGCAACCACGAGGTAGTGGAATAAAACTGAGAGTTGGTTGTTGTTTTGTTTTGTTGTGTCTCTTTTTCTGCAAATGAGACAAATGCGATTTAATACACATGAGATCTATGGTCCACATTGAAAGATTAATAGGAAGTATTTCTCACCCATATTTTGACCTGGGTGACGGAAACGACAATTTGGTCTTGTGCATGCAGAGCCATAACGGCAAGCTTTTGTAGGCGAGGGCTGAGGCACAACTGGGGCTGGCGTTTCAACCTCACCACCTGTCATTTCAATAACTTTCTTTACAATCAGATCCATTTGGATCTGCCAAAAAGTTTTATCCTGAAAACAAAAAAAGTTTCAAGAACGGCTTGTTTGTATTAAGGGGAGAAACCCTCCAAAATGGTAACCAAAACTTGTGTCTGAAGTACCTTGGCATTGTCCAAGCCACAATTTATTGATAAAATGCAAGGAAGCTGCTTCAGCCCGCGACTTTGCTTTGTTGGTTGGAAGCGATCACAAGAATCACACCAAGCTGGAGTGACTTGCTCAGGACATAAACTCTGTCCTAGAACCTGTCCAAATGTGTGCTGCACACCTGCAAGATCAAAAATTTTATTAGCAGAATTCACTTTTAAGATGAAAACACAGCAACTCCATGTAAGCAAGTATCTGTAGGAGTACGCATGAGAGTTGCGATGTTTCTTACCTTCTTTTGATTCTGGGTACACAAGATTGCACAAAAGCAAGACAGATTCCTTACTAACTTGTCTACCACATTTCAAACAGCGATGCGTGTGAATCTGTTTACTTCCAAGCAAACGTGATATCTCAGTTGTGTCATCTTCCTTCTCTTTTGTGTTAGCAGTTTCAGATGAGTTATCCATAACTTGGGAGATGATAGGTTGAGATGGGATCGTTCCATTAGAAATAGAAGCCTCTGTAAAGCAAAATTAAGGTGCTGCCTTTAAGTCTGTTCCCATGATTGATAATTATCTGAACAATTACAGAAGAACTTTGTCTAACACTTAAACAGAGCTCCAACACATTTAGGGAAGTGCAATAGCAAGCTACGCAAAAAAACATAAATAAATTAAAAAATTACAGAGTTTATACACACTATAAAACTAAATGCACGGAAAAGTGATGATATAAACAACGGTGGAGGTGAAAATCTTAATGTAAAACTGCCTACTGTGATAACTACATGAGGTTCAAGCAAGAATTAAAATCCGATGTCTTATATCAGAGCACCTCAGCTGGTGTAAAAACATGTACATCCTATGATACACATCGGCGGCAAGCAATGGTTCAGTGTCTCAAAGACCACAGCTACATACAACATAAGCCATGTACAGATTCAAAAATATATTCTTACAGTGTAAGTATTTTACCCCACTTATGGAGGTAACACTAGACAAGATTTTTTCATTAGTTAGAAAAAAACATTACCACAAGCATCAAACCATAAAAGCAAACTGCTTCAGAAATAATTGAAAATTGAAGTCATAAAAAAACTTAAATTGGAAATGGTACTTCATCCATCATGCATTTGCACCAAAAGAAGCTACGTAACACACTACAGACGAGTGAGTACCTTGGTAGTAAGAATAATAGGTGGTACCGGTTGGAAGCCACCAGTATCTGCTTTCATCTTGGTAGGCACAGAGGTATGGGTCCATCTCCCAAAACTGAGATTGCGCTATGCAGTAAGTGCATACAAAGGGTGAACTATTAGGTTGTGTTCTTAAACTAATTTGTATTAACAGTGTAGCTACATATCATGTACATGTGTGAATTAAAAAGAAAGCCGTTGTTAAGTAATTTCTTTTTCAAGATAGCTGTTATTGAGAGAGAGCCGGTCGAAAACAAGAAGCCCTTAATTAATGGAGAGGAAACTATGGAAACAATTTTAATCAATCTGCATGTAAATAGGCAGTGAGTTTACAGTTAGTAGAAAAATATATTTGTGTTTGTATGTGAGTAAGAAAGTGTTACAAGTAAAATCTGTGCCGGAAAAAAAATTTGTCAATGGGTGGAGAAAAAAATCTCATACCTTGCGCGGCAATTATAACATCAGTTGGATTTGGGACATCTGTTGCAGTACTAGGTTGAAGGCGCCACTGCACATTACTTGAAATGACAGGATTTGCGATGCTGGGAAATTCCTGCTCATTGTAGACAAATGGTGGCTGAGCGTCTTGAAGTTCTTTCCGCTCTCGTTGTTGTTTCTGTTTGAGGATTTCATTTTGATGCTTTTTGACTTCAAGCAGTTCATAGTGCATTTGGTGAAGGATAAATCGATTCCAGCTCTGTTGACAAAATATTCGGTGAGTTTTCCCCGATGGCTTCCAAGAAAGGGGTATGAAAACAGCCACTTACCTGAATTAGACGTATAAGATTAGATTTACTCTCTGGATTTTGGTCTGAGAGCAGCAGTCCTAGGGCGTATGCCTCAGGGACTGTACGAAAGGCTCGTTGGAAATTAGCTGCTTGGCAAGGAAAACCATGGGATTTATCCAACATGTGAAATAGGAAGCCAAGTTCACAGGAAAGGCAAAACTCTCGTTGACAAATGTGTGATAACATCACACATCTGATAGGCTCCAAGAAGTACAATATCTGTAATCATAAAATACACAAAACATAATACAAGGAAATATATAAGTACATTTTCCTGTCTATTTTAAGATAAGTGCAACACACCTGAAGCATTGCATTACAATAGGAGTTAGGGAGAGATGCTTCAAGACCCGAGAATGACGTGTTGTTATAAATGTCAAAGTCAAAGTCATCCATCCCCATTCGTGAATACTTCACTTCAACTTTTCGATAGCGTTTGGGGATAGCTATAAACCCAACTTCTTCTCCATTTTTCGGTCTTCCTTCTCCTCCCATAGGGCCACTTCCATTGACTACACCGTTCCTCCTCTTCATGTCCAGCTCATAGAGAACCTGAGAATACAACAAGAAATCAAGACATGATCATATTAACAGTTCAGGAAAAAGGGGAAGCGAGTTTCCAGCCACACTCACCTTAGTTTTCATGCCTATACTACAATCAATAGAAATTAAGATACATACTATATTCCAAAGAGAATTGAAGATTTCCCTTATTTACCATGCTGTTAGGTGTGAGATAGTCTTGGGCCAATGCATCTATTGTTTAAAAATAAATTGAAAAATCTATGTTGAATTGTTGAGCAGATAAGAAAATTAATAAGGTTAATATCAATTGGCATTTTAAAATGTTTGAAATCAGACAACACTCTATAAGCTCTGATGATAAGTGCATGCCTGCTATTGATCAAATTAGGATGGCTATGAGCCCAATAGGGTGAGAACGATCAAAAAGTTAATATACTACAGTGTTTAAGAAAATTTGTCTCGCCAAAGATTCATGGTTAACCAAATGGAATCAAGTTAGTGTGCAATTGAGCACTTTTAAAAAAAGCAACTGGATCCCAATTTTGTTTTTCAATTCAGGCCCTTATGTGGAAGATCAATCAACCTTTTTTAAACCCACCATTTAAAGGTGGAGACCAAGATGATTTAACAACGCTCTTTCAATCAACATCTGCAGTAGGCATGCATACTACAGAACCTATAAATACTACAAAGAAACCTGCCATTGTTAAAAAAAAAAACAGGAAATATAAAGTTTTAAAACCTAAGTGTGTGAAAAAATTTCTTTAGCAACAACAAGAGAAGAGAAGTTGAGACCAAACCAAATTGCAAGATCAAAACTGAGAGTGAAGCTACATTTGTGTGCATTATAAACAATATTAATAATTATAAACAAGACAATCATAATTGCTGAGTATACAAAAATGACACAAATGACAGGAACAGTTTTATTTTGATAAACTTATGTAGATAATACAAACAAACACATGCAAACAAAATAAAAGGAACATAATTGCCTCAGATTTTGAGTGAGAAACAGTTCGACAACTGTTTTACACAATATTGATAGGAACTATAAGGAGGAGAGAAACATTCTTTGGCTTTACTAGCTGACTGTTCTAACACTGTTGTCAGCAATTTTATGGCATGGGTCTGTATCAATTGTGGCCTACTACTTCTAACTCAAAATATACTGACTCAAGTTGTTGGCCAAATCCCTAAAAATGTATGCTTTGAATACTACTGGTTGCCAGTCCAAATTGAACATCGTTTTCCTAAGTTTAAGGAACTCTTTAGGGAGATAAAAATAAAATAAAACGAACTAAAATAAAAGATGAAAAAGAAAAGGAACAAGGAAATGGGACATGAGGATACTCCCAAATACGTGAAACTTAAAACTTCTTGAGTTAGGTGGGCAATGAGAGGATAAATAAAAGCGGTGAAGTGAACATTAACAAAAGCATCGCATTGCACCAGCACCACAAGTTCTACATCTCAACGATCCACAAGATGAGAACAAAACCAGGAGCAGAGCAGAACAATGAGATGAAGGCTCATGATGAGTATTTACAGAGTGTATTTTCATGCATAATCTAATTTGCACTTGAAACAAAAATAAATGCTGAATTAAGCACTTTCTTATTTGAAAGTAAGAACAGGCTTTGTTCTGCTTTCCCTGCAACCTTCTTTTCTCCAAACCAGAAAAAGCTTTTGATTCCCTGAATAAACAGTCTCACACTTTATAATACCCTCCCAACACCACTCTTATTGATGTCCTTAGCCCATCCTTAAAACATGCTTTATCCAAGCATGCAATGCTAAAGCATCACATCCAAAATGGTTCAAAAACACAACTTTAATGCACAAAATACTACACCTTGCAGAAATCAGTGAGAGAAAATTGATGTCAAACCACCACAGGTAAAATGTCTTTCAGTAGCAGGGAAAATTATTATTCAGCTTAAGTACTGTCTTATCACCAAATGGGATGTGACACTCACATATTCAAGGTCTACTATTTCACAATAAAAGAAATATTATCTGCACAGAAACTGGCGTGCACAAACGCAAGTAGAATCTACATATACTACTTGTCAAACCAAATGATAAAATAAAATTGAAAACATAACAAACAAAAATAAAATTGTACTTTAACAAACTACAAATAATAGTGCCCCTAAACACAAAATTTAAAGAATGGGGCAATAAAAATCAGATCTCTTATAATGTTAGCTGTCACTGGATAGACTAAAAAGTATAAGATGTGACCAGAGTAGGAAGTAGGAGACTTTCACAAAGTTTACTCAATATCAAACCCTCTTAAAAAGGAGGGGCAGAAATAACTTTACTCAACAGTTTGAGTTTGCCTGAGCCCCCTTAATCAATGAAACGAATTAAAAAAATTTGTCCTGAGGTTTGAGATCCGCAACAAATAATCTAAAGACATTCATTATGTGAAAATGAAAAGCTAAACAGTGGAAACAAAACAAGCAATAATGCAAAGTTTCCAGAAAGAGCTATGAGCACAGCAAGCACCCTGCTGCAGAGCTAGCAGCTTCCTATAAATGGAGATATGGTCTCACTTGGTTTCTACGCCGAGTCATGGGATTGGGAGCGTATCCAATTGTGCCTTGCATCTTCATGGACCGGAGAATATCAGGATCTATTGGTGGGGTGGGCCTAAAGTGACATAAAATTTATTAGAACATGTAGAAAGCACACACAAAAATAAATTTTACATCAATCTTCTAGGAAAAGAAATATCTAACCTGTAGATTTTTTGTAAACATTGTTCAGGCCAGTCTGAAAGCAGTTTGCTTCCAAGAGGGGGATAAGGAAGGGGTATTCCAGCCAAGGATGTTGACTCATCTTTAATGGATATGGATGCAGGCATGTCAATTTGATCGGCAAACTCTGTCTCCCTTGAGAAAGTGTTAATCATGGGAGTCTCAGATGTGGTGGGTGTAAAAACATGAATGTAGCCCCCACTATCCCCTATGGCTAAACACTGACAGGAGGAAGACACATCCAAAGAAAGGCAGAGAGAACCAGCAGTGTTAACCTAGAGCAGGAAACAAGACAAAGAGAAATGAAGCACTGAACCATTTACAGTATAATGTCATAAAGTTTCATTAATTAGACTTTTTTCTTAGTTAGGTAGCAATAACAGTTTACCTGATAAAGTGAGAGGTTTGGTGTTTGCAGACTGACAGTATCAGCAAGTTGCAGTTGACCAAGTGATGAAACAACAGCTACTCTTGATGTGAAAGAGGGCATAAACCTCAATAGGAGAGGATCCAGAACAACTGGGATAGGATTTACCAGGCGCATCATTCGAAGATCATAGACCATAAGGAAGCGGTCAACTGATAAAGCCCCTTGCCTTTAAAATATAAGTTTTTTTTTAAATAAACAAAGGGGTTTCTTAAAAAAATTTACTTGAAAGTAAGAGCTTTTGATACAAAAAATAAATACCTGTTGGAAAATCCGCAAGAAATAAGAAGATTACCGTGCACATCAAAATCTGAAAGACTGCCCGAATGAGTCTCTAGGACATGTTCAACAGACAACGAGTTAGGATCACGCAGTACAACCCTGCCTGAAGGATCCCCTGAACATAAATATCTAGGATGCTGGCGAAGGATTGCACACCCATTTTCTCCAGCATCAAACTAAAAGAGACATGTAAAAAAAGTTTTAGTTAAAATTTAAATTGATTTAAAAAACTTTTTACTAAATATTTTTATACTTCTTACCAATCCTGTCTCTATGCCTTGGGTAAGATCAAATTGAATTAATTTATCCTGGTGACCTCCCATTAACAAAGATGTTGGAGATGTCTGCAGCATACACTGCATTTCTACCATATTTTCAGAACTGTAAAGCAGCAAATAAAAATTGTGTATATGTCAAAATATGAAAAAAGAAAAAATAACTGAGACAAAAAAAAATATTTTCAGACCAATGAGTAAACATGGGTAGCCCTCGACGAATTTGGCCTCTTAAGGAACTGCTAGTGAGGGCAAGAATTCCAGCCTCTCCAGTTAGTATATGCCGCACTTCTTCTGATGCATGTACTTGAAATGATGTATATTTCTGAGCTCCGCTTCCAAAGTACGAAGTCACATGACCCTAGTGCCAAAACCAGCTACGTAAGAGACTATTTTGTATGAAACAACAATCACAAAAACAACCAACAGCATTACAAACGTACTCCTTGATTTCCCATCCATAACAATTCTTCCTCCAAATCAAAAGAAACAGCTGATACTCCAAACCGATCACCACCATCAGCCAGGATGGTTTGAGATTCGATGAACTCATTATCAGTAGAATAAGTTTCTGCATACTGTTCCAGTCCATTTTCATCGGTATATATTTCTCCATTCTCACTGTACACTGGGAGAGAAGATAGATTTGTTAAATATTTATCAGCAAAACAGTGTAGTGTGGCTGACATCTGGTGTAGTAGTGAGTGCTTAAAAAACGAAATGCTGCAAGGACGCGATGTTGAATGGAATAATTTTAAGCCTAGCAGCACACACGAAAAAAATAACGAAAGTAACAAGTAGGAAGTAGGTCTTTGTTATTATTTTCAAGTAGGGTGTTATGTTGTGAAGGTTATATCACTCACTAATCATATCTGAAGTACCGTTCGCGTCGCCAGGCCCATAGTGAGAGATTCCGGAGAACTCCATACTTCAGCACATAGCAGGGGCGTTACAAGGAATGATGTTGATTGAGATGTTTGTTATCACATGCAAGCAGAGCAAGCATACGTTTACAAACAAGCGATCAAAATCATGCCCAGAACGCCGCCATATTGGATCATATGTTTTTCCTGCGTCGTTGGCAAGTGACGATTGTGCCGAGAGATGGCGCTGCAGGCGCTAGTAGCGGCGGGAAGGCAAAGCACGCGAAGGCGCGCGCGTTCGAACCGCCGCGCGTTGCAGTTGCAGGGAGGGACACCTCAGTCACACGCCTCTGTGCAATCTGCTCGAAGGTAGGCAAAAGGTGCGGCACCATGACCCCCGCCTGCCTAGCGCCTGATCCTAGACGGTCCTGGAGGCTCTAGGTGTCTGGAACTCGAGCGGCGACCTGCAGTGAGATAGCTCGCTGGTTGCTCCAGCGTGCTGAAAACTAGTAATTGCAGAGGGGGCAGGTAGGAACTAATTTATTCTCTTTGTGCAGCGCGGCGCCGTGTCTCAGACTGATTGCAGACTGACTCCGAGTCGTTTTCGTCGCCGCGTCTCTCACACTCGTGATACGTTCCTTATAGGTGCGAGAGAGACAGAGCGACGAAAACGACTCTCGGAATCAGTCTGCTGTCGGCGGCGGCGGCGCCCCTCCCCCAGCGTTGTCCCCCTCGGCCTCCGCTCGGCCCTCCCTCCGCCAAAGCGTGTGCCAGTGTGCCAGGCCCAGCCAGGCCCAGCCAGGCCGGACGGACATCCAGCCGAGTATGGACAAGAAGGCCTGCCCTGCCCCGAGGGCAATGCAACAGTCCAGTCACGCAGGACACATTCTCATGTATTGTCAGTCGTCGTCAAGCTCGAAAAAACAAAAAGAACGACACTAGAGTCGAGGAGGACGATCCTCTTTTTCTTTCCCGAGAAATGATAAGAGGGAAATGAAATTCTTCTAATGCACCGCATCCGTGCCGCAACCCACGGGGCTACTGCAGTTCCATAACCGGCTGCTACCTCGACCGGGAAAGGGGGAGGGGGGGGGGGTGCCTCGGTGGGCGGGGGCGGGGCGAGACCGCGTTCGAAAGGCCGCGGTGCGGAGCGCTTCCGTCCGTGGACCCCAGCCTTCAGCCTAGCCTGCCTCGGCCTGCCTCCCCTTGGGCCCTGGGCTCGCGTGCTGCTCGGACACACCGACACACCAACACACCGACACACCCAGACGGCCCCGGACTCCGGACGCGCTCCCTGACCGTTATGGTCCGGCATTATTGGATGCAATTATTATCGACGGGACGGCGTGCTGCTCCCGGGGCCCGTAGACCGATTCCGAGGGTCGCGTTCGTCGCTCTGTCTCTCTCGCTCCTATACGGGCTGCCCCATGAGTGCGAGAGAGACAGAGCGACGAGTCCACTGGCTGGCGTGGTGCGCCTTGCCTCGCCGTGGCGTGCGGCGCAATGGTATTCATGCTGCCGGCTGCTGCTGGGCCTCGAGGAGCTCGAGGATGCCACCGGGAAGCACGGGCATGGGTCATCCCAGAGTGCGGACAACTCCCCCATGAATGAAGCAGCGCAGGAACCTCCTTCCTGGCGTTTATTTGCACCGTTCCCATCGTATTTTGTATTTTTTTTTGCGAAATGATGCAGTGATGTGTGAATTTGGTAAAGAGGGCGAGGAGTATTGTGGTGCAACGCGTGACTAAAAATCTCTTTATTCATTACAAAATGTACATCGTGTGGATTGTTTCACTTTTGGCAACAGTGCGAAGAAAGTCATTTTGATAACCGTTTTCATCTGTTTCTCGATAGTAATTTTAACAAGAATACGACAGCTCTGAGGCTGCTCCCTTGTTCTTACTAGAAGTACACTTACAAAAATTTACACACATATATATGAATGATCTAGCTATTCACACACTTACCCTCTCATGCAACTTACGGTAGAATAAAATAATTCGTCTTAAAATAAATAATACGATATAAATAAAATGTCATTTTACAACAAAAATAAATACAAAAATTGAGATGTCAAAAATCAGTCAAAACAACACAGTAACAAGTGTTGATCTTTATGAAATCAGTAAGCACTCGCCGATCGCCCAAAAAACTACGACCTCACTTGAACAGTTATCGTGGGAATGCATGAAAGCATCGTGCCCCGGTGCGGCCGGCTACGTAAGTTCGTGCTTCAAAAAGCTGCCGACGGCTGGAGCGGGCGGACACCAGTAGGCACGACCAACACACTGTAAGAACGCTCGGAGTGGGCTGGGGCTTGACAATGCCTTGGTTGAGAGAACTGGCACTTCCCTTCTGCGTGGAGCCGCGCCGAGCTTCAATCGTTTCGGCGGCAGGGGGAGGAAGGCGGCGGTCCACGGCGGCGGTCCACGGCGGCGGCCCTAGGGGAGCAGCCTCTGGTAGTAGGCGGGGGCCCTGCTCTTCTCCAGCACGTACATGGAGTGCGGCTTGCCGTTGCCGCCCAGCAGCTTGTGCATGGACGTCTTCTTGGCGGGGGCGTAGTAGTACGGCGACGGCCCGGCGGGCTCGGGCTCGGCCTCCAGGAGCTGCTGCTTCAGCTTGTGCTCCTTGTGCTGCTGGTGCAGGTGCTCCTTGTGCTGCATCTGCACGCGGTGGTAGGGGCGCCCTTCCGCCTGGTGGCGCCCAGCTTGCTCTTGGAGGGGTTCTTGGTGTTCTTGGCGGGCTTGCTGTTGCTGCCCTGCGTGGAGCGGCGCCGCGCCGCCGCCATCTTCTTGAGCACGGGGATGTTCCAGTGGTAGACTCGGGCCGGCTTGCCGTTGGAGCGGAAGCCCACCTCCACCTGCTGGCAGAGAATGCACGGTGAGCCTCGTCTCGACGGGGCCGCTCTGGGCCGAAAACACCGATACATACCTTGCTGACGGAGTTGGCGACGGACGGCGGCGACTTGAGCAGCGAGTAGTAGTGCTGGCTGGGCGGCAGGCGCACCACGAACACCCTCGAGTCGTCCTCCGTGGCGTGCACCTTCTTGGGCACCATGGCCTGCGCCAGGCTCTGGCCGGGCAGTCTGGCGAGGCCCAGCCCGGACAGCAGCTGGTGGCTGCTGGTGAGCGCGTCCTTGGACACGTCCTTGGAGGTGAGCGACAGCGCCTCCTTGGAGGACGAGGAGGCCAGCTCGGCGGTCGCGAGCGGCACCAGGACGGCGAGGGCGCTCAGCACCACGGCGGCCCACCTGCACACAAGACAAGGACACAGAGGGCTTAGAGTCCTGCACACAAGACAAAGACACAGAGAGCTTGCGCTGCTTTTCCTCTAGTGTTTATTTGGCCATTGAGGGGCCGCGCTGCCGCCGGCACTGCTGAAGTCTGCTGCAGTCCGGCGCATTCATGGCCTGGGGACGGCCGTCAAGTGCATCTTCCTGGCCGCGCCCTGCCGCGCCCCGCCTTGCCACGCCTCGCCACGCCACGGCGGGCTAAGGGGGTCGCCCTCGCGGTGCCCGCAGTCCTCGCGGCGCCGGCCCTGTGACCTTTCTGCGCAGCCTCCCCCCCCCCTCCAAATCTGCAGGCGCGGCGGCATGCGCTGTGGGGCGTCCATAAAGCACCTGACCGGGAGGGAAGAGAGAGGGAGGGGGGATGAGGGGGCTGGAAGGAATTTGAGGCCGTAATCTTCGAGCCCTCTGTCACTTGGCGCTGCGAACACACCACTACTTGAACCGCGACCTCTCTCGGTGATAATGAAAGAATGCCCACTCACTGTAAAACCACCCTGTGAGCTATAGTTGCTGACAGTTTCCAACTGAAACTGTGCGTCCTGCCTGCCAGGGCCGGCCTGGGCCGCATGTCAACTCCCTTCAGTGCTTCATGCACTGGCGGGGCCACTCCAGCCGTGTCCATCCCCGCACGGGCGTGCTCGGCTCGGCGTGCTCGGCGTGCTCGGCGAGCGCACCACGGCGCACGAGCTGCTCGAGCTTTAAATAAATAAACATGATTGCGGATCCGAGCTTGAGCAGCTTGTGCAGTTTGCGCTGGCGCGGCTCTAAGGGTTATTATTAGCGGTCCACTACCTTGGCCCGCAAGCCGGGCAGTGCCGGGCAGGCTGCCTAGCACACCTAGTAGCAGCGCGGCCATAAAGGCGTCGTATAAGTTCCCCCCGCGGAGTGAGCCTGTGTGTGTGTTTGTGCGGAGCCGCCACCACTGTAGGGGCGATAACTCGTCACTACCCCAGGGTGCACACAGACGTAGAGACACATACTAACACACAGGCAAAAACACACTCACACACACGCTTAGGGACAATTCGCTACGAGAACAGGCGGGCAGTGTATGAACGTTACACATTTGAAATGCGCGCGGACTGTGCGGACTACACGGCTTGCCTGCGCTCGGAGCGCGCTTGCTGCTCGCGGCAGGCAAGGCTTGCTGCGGCAGGGCGGCCGGCACAGCAAATGCATATCCAGCTCTTCTTGGTCGTGCGTCGTTGGCTGCTGCTTTATCTGATGCATAACAAAATGGATCGAATCAAAGATATACGCTCACTGCACCGCCGCGAACCGAAAAATAGAAAAATAGCAGCTCCACCAGCAGAGCCCTCGACGACCCCGGGCAACCCTGGGGCGGCGTGGCGTCTCCGAAACCGTCCCGAACCACACTCTTCCCGCGCCGCCCTGACCCAGGCACCTCCTGGCCGCCCAGGCCGCCCAGGCGCCGGCGGCGGCGTTTTGGCGCCAACTCGGCCCGTCTCGTTTTGCCGGTCGTTTTGGCGCGGCCGGCACCTGCCGAGGCATGCCGGCACCCGGGCAGGCGAGCGAGAGGCTCATTTGTAAAGTTAGGACTTTCTGCCAGTCATGACAATGGCAATGCCGCCCTGGCCGGCGCCTCGCTGCTAGCCCTGCTAGCTTTCACCCGCTAATGGCTGTGCCGTCCAGTTCGCGCTGCAAGGTTGGCACGGGCCGATGCCATGCGACTCCCGGCCCGGCCCCGCTGATTTGGCGCCAAAGGCGCCTTTGGCCTTTGCGGTGTAATGGCGGGTGCCGACAGTTCCAAACCGTGCTTATTTCGTCGCTCCGTCTCTCTCACGCTCACGGGTCACCCGCTGCTCCGCGAGAGTGCGAGAGAGAGAGCCTGCGCGCCAGCTCGCCATGGCCCGCCGATAGGGAAAGAAAGAGACAAGTAAAAGTCTGAGAGAAACGCGAGGCGGGACTGCCCCGGAGCTGCCGCGCGTTCACCGAGCGAACTTTTGCGATGACCGGAGAAAGAGCGGTGGAAAGCAGGTACGCCACACTGTTTGAATCGCCTGCCTGACGAAGTCAGAAGTCATTTTGTGACGAGGTCCATCGCGTGCGCAAGGGACAACGTCAAGCTGCCAGCAAAAAGGCAAAAAGCACGCGAGGCATCGTCGCGGCGGCGAACGATGACATTTCAATAACATCCTGTGTTCTTTTTCCCTTTTTTTCACCGGGAGAGGATCATCGGTGACGCTGCGCCGATACGCCTTCAGGAGGCTATTGAGTCCCGCCGTGCCTGCGTGGGACCGAGCAGAGTTTGTCCGGCACAAGGAGGGGGGGGGCTACAATAACTCAATCAGAGAGGCGTGCGGTTTGCCGCTCGAGCGAGCGCGGCGCCGCCCTGCAGTTTCGGAAAGGCAGATGGATGGATAGAGATATATACGAACGGACGGGCGGACGGACAGATAGTCAGACAGACGCACCGCGCGTGCTGCTTGACTCGTAAAGCGGATGCAGCGGGGCTGACACCCCAACACCCTAGGGCAGAGCGAGGCGGAGCGCGGAGCAGCGCGCCATTTTAAATTCAAATGGTGACGCCAAACAAATGCGGGCATCCTGGCCCCGGCCTGGCCTGCCCCGCCGTGCGCTGGCCGCTCTGGCCGCCCCAACGATAAGGCTGCCGCGCTGCCGCCGCTGATGCACGGCCAGGCCGAGGCCAGGTACAGACAAGGCTTCGGCCGGACTGCAGCCGACTAGGCCTGCTCCGCCACGCTCGCGCAGTCCCCGCGCGTCTAATTTGCAGCAGGCCCGCGCGGCCCGCTCGCGAGGACGGCGTGAACGGGGCGTGCGCGGGGCGTGCGCGGGGGCGTGAGCGTGTCTCAGTGCGCGCAGCCACGCGACGTTGGCGGCCGTTTGTAGGCAAAGCCGGCGATGCCCGCGCCGCGTGGCCGCGCCACGTTAAACCACCACCTTTCGAAAAGGGGAAACCGCGTGCCCATTTACATGTAGTGCCTCATATCCGCGGAAGGCCAATTAGCATAGCCGCATGACGAGCAAATACTTCACGCGCTAAGCACCGGGTGTCCGCGGCTTGGTCCGCGGCTTGGTCCGCGGGCCGCAGAGGCGCCCGAGGACGACCTTGTCTCGTTTTGCAGTGCAGGCGAGCATGTGTCGGGCCCGAAATGGCATACGATCATGTGTGGTCTAGCCCTTAATGGTAATGGTAATGGTGGGTAGGCAACACGCCCGCACCCGTGCGCCGCGTGGCGGCCTACTCTCCCGTTGGCAGGCGCTCCACAGTGGGCAGAGGAACTCCATTGGTGGGGTCACACGCCCGGTTCGAGATCCATACGGTGACTCTGGAGCGCTCAAAAAGCGTCATGGAGTTTTGGCCACCTCCACCGGTCTCGGGCCGGGGACATGGTGGGTGGTGGTGGAGTGGTGGGTTGGGTCGCCGGTCGCTGTCCACTGCCGCTGGCTGCCGCCGGCTTGTCCAGATGCTGTCCCCGGCGTTCCGTGGTCCCCGGTCACAGCCAGGCATCGTTAACCCCCGACCTTAGGAGAAAGCCCCAGCCCGCACACACGGTGCGCCGCCCCGCCCCCGCCAGGCCCCGCCCCGGCCAGCGTGTCACCGCGCATGCCACCCATCGCCAACAAGGGAACAAGGGCCTTGGGGAAGAGGGTCAGGCACGCCAGGAACGAGCCAGCCAGCGCCATGCAGTCCTCCGGGCGGAGCCGCCAGGGCAGCGTTCAGTGGGGCCGGCAGGGCACCCGGCAACAGGTTAGCTCCTCGTGGGGCGTGGCCAGGCGTGGTCTCTCCAGCTCACGGAAGGTCGGAGCGTCTACTCAGGGCCCATCTGACGGACGTGGACTTGACTGCCCCGATTTAGGTTGACTTAGGCTTTACTCCGTCTATTTAAACCACGTCAAACAAAAAATAAAATGGATTTTTTTCGAACTTTGAATTGACTTTACGCCACTATGCCCATGACGGCAGCATCGACGAAATTCCAACGGCCAGCATGGCGCGGCCTGAGCGGCCTCAGCCTCCTCCCTGCTGCACCCCGGGCCTGCTCGCCTTGTGTTTGCCCAACGAGGGACTCTGGCGGCACGCGAGCCACGCGAGCACCTAAAACACACTCGGCAACGGGACTGCATGCCGCTCCGTGCCGCGCCACGCCGGCACGCCAAAATGAAGAACCTCTCCTCCATGGACAGGCACGCCGAGGACGAGGACGGCCACGATGGCTGAGCCGGAGCCGGAGAGGCCCAGGACCGCTCCGTCCGTCCAAGCCCGGTAGCTGGCCCAGGCCAGCCGGGCGTGGTGGGGCGTGGTGGGGCGGGGCACGGCGCGGTAGCACGCACGTGGCCTGTGCCCCCGTCCGGGTCCGGGCCGTCCGGGTCGGCGGCAAGGCCTGCTGCAGTCCGGTGCATTCTTCGGCTGCACCATGTTCCTCTCGCAGCGCCTGGCCGCCCCTGGCTGCCCCTGGCTGCTGCGTCGCCGCGTCGATCCTAAGGTGGTAATCAAGAGCACATCCCACTGGGACTCCTCTCGCTTTCACTGGCAGGCCGGGCGACCAGGCCGTCAGGGCGTCTCGGCGGTCAGGGACTGCGCACCGCAGCGCCACTGCGTATCCCAGCGTCCGCACAGCGAACCGCCGGGCTCGGGGGCGACGTGTCCGCGACGTGTCCTCGACGTGTCCGCGACGTGTACGCGACGTGTCCGTGGGTGATGGATGACTCCGAGACTTCCCTCGTGCGTCACGCGTCACGCCCGCGTCACGTCCCATCGAGCGAAAAGCCACTGGGGCGTGCTGCGTGCTGCACTGTGCCTGCTGCCCGAGAAGAGGCGCACACGCAAGCGGCGCGCGCTTTCCAAAAGGGTTGCTTTCTGGGCGACCTCGGCCCTACGCTTCGGTGCAGCACGGAGTGGCGGAAGCGTGGCGTGTTTTGGGGTTTTAATGACAGTGCAACACTGCTTGTTGTTCGGCATGCTTGGCAGGCGAGGC